TGGATGTTGGAGCTGAAGTATCAGCGGCTTTGGCTGCAGGCTCATTGGGCTGCTATATATATACCAGCACCGATCAGTTTACCCTATGTGGTCACAAAACCCTAGTGCCCCATAACTAAGCCCCCATAACACTGAAACCCTTCAACCCAAGCCCAGCAAGTCAAATGTAGTTTAGCGGCTGCACTACTTTTGACACAACAATATGAGGGGGCATCTTTGGATAGGTGCGCTGATGTGTACAGAGAGAAATGAATTTTGAGCTATTGCTTTAGGACCGTCATAATATTGATGGACCATCTGACGACTTCTTCATCTAAGATGATTGATGGAATGCGATGCCTACCGTACTGGGGCTCTTGCATGTAACAATTTACCCCCATGAATCCTCGCCTGTGGACATTGATGCCAGCCATGCGAGAGGGAAAAAAAAGCCCAGCAAGTACAGAACCTCAAAACACAAAGCCCGCTTCCCTCAGACCTTGAAGCCCTAACTTTAATAATTCGTCCCACAAACCGGAGAAAGATTTCCCTGTCTAGGCCGGTCGGGACGTGCTTGCAGGGGAGCGGCTCCTGCAGCCAACCCAGTGCGGCCAAGAGAAGCGCAGGAAGCCTTGCAGGCTACACCGATCAAGAGCCCTCCCTGCAAGAAGACAAAGTGTCCTCCACCGATCCGTCACAGCTCGAGCAATGTCTCCGACTCCAGCTCTGGAGCCCCGGCTTGCAACGGCTTCCAGCTTTCTAGCTTATTATCTTGAAGGGTTCATGATCCCAGTTTATGGCAATGGCTAAATTAGATAGATGGTCCATGGTCCTAATAATACAGCAGAATCTATTTTGCTACTTATGCTGTACTGTTATTGGAAATTAATTCGACGCAACATAGTAATTGTGGAGTTCAACACTTATAATAAATATATACTATAATATATATATATATATATATATATATACATATTTATATATATATATATATATATACTATATACATACATAACTCTCTCTCTATATATATAATATATATATATATATAATATAATATATACACATGTACATATACTGAGATCCCGATCTTATTATATATATTGTATATGTGTGTACATGTAGAATGATCATGAATGATCATAGATCAAATTATAATGCATGAATAATCGAAATATCTAGGGTGATTATAATATAATTAATATACAGCTCATGATTCATGTTAACGTTATATATATATAATCTTGTGTATGCATGTTTGTTTTATGTGTGCACCCCCCAACTTGCCCAGGCAATGCGGTCAAGAAGACTGTAGTGAGCCGAATGGACACGCAATCCACCGTCCCGTGGATTGGTGCAGGAAGTCAGAGCAGCCCGGAGCATGCTGTGCCGGAGCTGGTTTTAGCGGATCTTTTGGAACTTGGCAAGGGCGAGCTCGGAGCTGCGATCTTCCTTGACTCCCTGCGTTTGGGACCCGGAGCCAGTGCCTTTCGAGATTTTATTCTCAACGATTTCATCGATGAGAATGCTGAGCCGATCATAGACACAGATGACACGCGCAACTTTGATGCCCTCTCAAAGGTTTACAGTATCACTGTTGAACTGGTGAGAGATGCATGTGAGGCTGCCGGTGCCCGTGAGCAGTATCTGTGCTCATATGAAAAGATGGTATCAAAGGCCAGAGAGTCGGCCGACAGGGTCTGTGGTGTGGAGACAGACAAGGCCAAACGAGAACTCAAACGCCAGATCGCCGATCGATGGTTGAAGAAGGAGATCGAAGCTTTAAATGTCAAAAGAGACAGTGTGTGTGAGAGAGCTGCAAGGTCTTCGGAGATTGCAGCATCGAAGGTCCATTCACTGATCGCCCACGTGCGATCCACTGGAAGGATGTCCCGCAGTTTCTTTGATCGCATGGAGTCCTGGCAGGAGTTGGACGAGACGCTTGCCATGCAGCAGAGCCTGAAGCGTGCTGCTGTTGAGAAGGGTCTTGATCCGGCAGCTGTACTGGCAGCACATGCTGAGACACAGATTCTGGAAAGCCAGGACCCCACTGCAGCAATGGACGAAGCAGGAGCAACCAGTATTGCGAATCCGACCGACCAGGATGGAGCAGAAGCACCCTCGCAAGCAGCAGCCCTTGCAGCAGTGCCGAATCCAAGCAGCCGGGGTGGACCAGAAGCACCCTCCCTAGAAGCAGTGCCGAATCCAAGCAGCCAGGATAGAGCAGAAGCGCCCGCAGTGCCGAATCCAAGCAGCCAGGTTGGACCAGAAGCACCCTCCCAAGCAGCCTCCCCGAATCCGAACAGCCAGGTACCAGAAGCAGCCTCCCTGCCGAATCCGAACAGCCAGGAACCAGAAGCCCTAGCAGCAGTGCCGAATCCGAACAGCCAGGGACCAGAAGCAGCCTCCCTTGCAGCAGTGCCGAATCCGAACAGCCAGGATGGACCAGAAGCAGCCTCCCTTGCAGCAGTGCCGAATCCGAACAGCCAGGATGGACCAGAAGCAGCAGTGCCGAATCCGAACAGCCAGGGACCAGAAGCAGCCTCCCTTGCAGCAGTGCCGAATCCGAACAGCCAGGATGGACCAGAAGCAGCCTCCCGTGCAGCAGTGCCGAATCCGAACAGCCAGGATAATCCAGAAGCAGCCTCCTCTGCAGCAGCGGTGATTCCGAACAGCCAGTCCCTAGCAGCAGTGGTGAACAACCCGAACAGCCAGGATGGATTGCAAGCAGCTTCAAAGCAGGATGACAGTGTGGCTCCAACCCAGGTGCCGCGCACGGCCGTTTGGATTTGGGTTTTCACTGCAGGTGTATATTATTATAATATAACTACTACTAATAATAATATGATGTATATATATATACACTGTATAGCGTTATTACCACAGGACTGTCTACATATCGAGTGTTATGGGATTATTATATATACTATAATATATATATATATATATATATATATATATACACACTAGCTATAAAACGAATAAAACAACTTATTATACTAGTAGGGAAAGATCGAACAAGATTATTTAAATTTGGCAACTCTACTAATAATATATTATATTAATTATAGACTATAGATCATTTCGCAACTCCACTAGTATGTAATATTTAGAATGAGTAAAGCTGACATCGCCCATTTTCCTGACCCCGTAACCCTGTCCTTAAGGCTTAGGGTCCAAACTTGTAACCCATGCACCTAATCCCTGAAAACTTGAATGTTTCACACCGAAGCCGGCCAACATCACCACTACCCCCAGACAACTAGATTGCAAGCGCAGTATATGTACATATATATATATATATATGTACATACATACCACCGGCCTACTTATACTGTGCATCGATACAGCTAGGGCTTATCGGGGCTTCATGCATAGTTTGAGATTCCAATCCATCCCAAAATGAAGCAGTGCAAAACTGTAACGAAGTGTCCACCCTGAGAGCTAGCTGCACAACCCATAAGCGCTAATCACTAATCTGAAAGCTATGATGGGGCCCTAAAACCACCCTCAACATCCTAATTTTATGATCTAGCTTAATTAATAAAACTTGCCTTGGACCCAACTTATGCCTTACTTCACATGTGAGCCAAATTGTGACCCCCTTTAGACCCCTGTAGTCCGAATGTGATATATCCGCAGGTGCCTACCGAAGTTGTCGACTGTGATGATTTCGATGATACTGATCTGGTGCAGAAGCTGGAGGCTTTCGTAATGCTTCATGATCATAGTATATACTGTTTGTTTAATCAGTCCTGTGTCTAGTGGGATGTGTGGAATCCTGCTGCTTGAACTACCCCGGCCCCCTGCAGGCCTTGCTCAATCTGAAGGTGGAGCCGGAAGAATCGGCAAAGCAGGAGAGCTGCAGCCCTGAAAGGAGTGACAAGGCTGGAATCGTGCCGGTCACTGCAGTCGATCTCTGTAAGGATGATCCCTACATGGAGGAAGCAGTATCAGCAGCAGTGGCTGTTGTGGACAAGGCACTGCTGAGACTGGGAACGGATGACATCGAGGACCTACATCTGGTCTAGCTATGCATCATTGACACATACCCTAAGGGTCCAAAGGACCCAATATTTAGGTACTCGGGTTTGGGATAGTAGTTATATAGGTTACTATTTTTGATGAGTATACGATAGTTGGGTACTTGGACCCTTAGGGATAGGGTTATAATTAGTGATTTCTTGCTAGAATAATCACTTGCATCGACATCAGGATATAGTTAGCACTTTAGCAGGAATCCTATCTAGATAATAACACCATCTCCGGAAGTCTACACCCACATGTGCCTCTATACATCTTCTGCTCGAACCGATTTGCCAGTACATTAGCTATATAGATGTTGCAGGAGAGAAGCCGCCTGGCCAAGAAGGCTGCAATTGTGCAGCCGCCCGCAGCACCGCCAGCAAATCATCAGCAGCAGATCACCGCATCTGAGCTGGATGGAGAGGAGCTTGATCATCATGAGGGGGAGGATGAGGCTAGGACTGCCGACTTAGCAAGGAGGAAGGCACGTGCGAAAATGATGCGAACTTTCAAGCGTGCCATGTCTTTAATGGCCATGTACCATGCTACAAATAGTGTACTCATGACAGATGTTGCAGTGGCTTTTTGTTATTAGTGGACTTTGTATGACCCGGCCCGTAACTTCAGGTTTAGTCTTAAGCTTGAGACATCCGTGGTCGGACTAGGATGGTTCTCAGTTGATTGCTAATTATATTTATCTGTAATTACAATGAAACTACTCGAAACCCCAGGTGAAGATCTGCCTCCGGTTATCCTTTACAAAGCCAAGCAAGCGCAGAGGGGTGGCTTGGACAATAATTGGAACCTTTATACATAATTGTTTATTCTGAGTGTATGGTATCCCTGATCAGAGCTATGCCACCAACTAAGACCGCAAGTACGCGGAGCTGCTCGATATGTTCATCGAGTGTGATGGGGTCTGGGCGAACTGCAGCTTGGTGCAAAGCTCTTCAACAACGGAGAGTGCTTTGGTGAAAGGCGACCGCAGCTACAAAATGTTCCGGGACATAGTCAAGGAACATGGGCAGTCAGATGCTGAAAGCTTACGTGACGACAAGAAGGCTAAGCAGGAAAGGTTGGGGGACTTCAGGGTGGGTGTACCCTATTGGTACCCCCACCCAGACTTTCCGAAGTCGGAAGATCCTTGGATTTAATAAGCAGACCCTTCATCGTGATCCTTAATACCCTGTATAGCTAGATAATGATCCCAAAACCCTTAAATATCACTGGAGCCCAAACCGAAGACACATAAACCAATAACCCTGACCCCCAAACCGTAAACCCTATGCACTGCTTTGTGGCCTGAGGCTCACGAGATGTTCCTGTGCTTCAATGGTGCATCTCTCGAGACCATGAATGAGACCAAGGTGCGAACCGAGGAAAATGTGAGAATGGACATGGACAGCTCCCTGACCCGTGAACTCAGGTGGCCTGCAAGCATCATAAATTTAAAGTGTTATCGTAGCTCTTGTGTGAATTAAAACAATTAAGCTTGTAGCTAGGGTTCTTCTATGCTGTAAACCATGCAGATAAATCCGACAACCTTCGGAGTCAACCTCCCAACTACAACCCTGATTCTTGAATATACTTTGTAGCATTGACAGCACGGACTAACTAGCACACAGGAAGTGGGCTTCCTTCGAGCTAGGTATAGTCGATAGGCTAATTACAAAACCATAAACTGAAACTCTAAACTCTAAACCCAAATCACAATATATGCGAAGCTTCTTCATCCCAGGGCCGGCATGCAGCCATTCAAGGTGGATCCAACCGGATGCGGCAGAGCTTTGCAGCCGTCGCCGAGTGCAGAGAGCCTTGGTGAGCTTCTACCCGGAGGCAAGGGAGGCAAAGGCAAGGGAAAGAAGAAGGGGACTGACAAAGACAAGAAGAAGTTGCCCAACTATGCCGGCAAAGCGCATGGGAAGGTGAAGATTGGCCGGACCACTTTGACCGATGCTAAGTATTGGGTAAGGACCATCGAGGCTGACCAGAAGATCCCCGACCCTGCCAAGCGCAAAATGCACCTTGCCGTGTAACCTAATATGTAGTAATAACTAGTTATTATAGTAATAACATTATTCCGGGTAACCAATCATGTGGTGCATATAACCTCCAAGCTCGGACTAGTTCGTTTCGATCACCCCAATAATTTTAAACTCAAGGCTATTATCCCTGAGCCTTAAACCCTACCCCCCCAAACCCCAAAGCACTAAGCATCGAGTCGTCTGATCTCCCTGAGCCTTAAACCCCAACCCCCCAAACCCCGAAGCACTAAGCATCGAATCGTCTGATCTCCCTGAGCCTTAAACCCTAACCCCCCAAACCACAAAGCACTAAGGATCGAGTCGTCTGATCTCCCTGAGCCTTAAACCCTAACCCCCCAAACCCTAAGCACTAAACGGGAGTTCTTATCCCAGGTCCGAAGCACTGGCCCAAGGCTACATCTCCCAGATCAATTTGTATAAGGACCCGCTCGAGAAGGCAACCGAAGCCCTGGACTGGAAACTCGTCGAGGGCACAAAGGATGAGGCCAGCTTGGCACCACTTGTGACGAGCCTTGAAGCTGCAGTGGAATCTTATGCTTCTGCTGTTCGCCCGATCAAAGGGCTCCTTGTTTCTTGACTGCATGTTGGTTTGCCTATTATAATACTGCATGCCGTCTTATCACATTAATGATTTCATGGTACAATGATATTGTCCAAGGCTGAGCCTGACCCCAACAAGGCTGGCAAGAATGGTGGCTCGAAGAAGTCAAAGGGCAAAACTGCCTGAAGAGTGCATGGGGCCACTCGTTGACTTTTGGGATGCGGATTGCACTAGCAATGAACACGTGTGAGATATCACATGTGCTGATGTGAAGCCATCCGGTCATGTATCCGACTGCCCCAGTTATGTGTGCTATAGAATAGTGTCCTATTATGTGTGTATGTACTACTAAACCGAAACCCTCCCCAATCTAGGCTCGGCCCTGAGTACTGATCATCGAGTACATAGCTTCCAGATCTACCTAGCTGGTAGAACAGTCGGTGATTGACCTTAGCTCGTGGCTATCCCAGTTTTAGTGCAGCCTGGTGTTTGATCTTGCCAATTTGGGCAGAAAAGCCTTTAGCATGGGGGAATCATGATCAGCTGAAGCTCTGAAGCTGCGATGCCCTCACCGACAAAATCTCCAATTGTGCTAGCGCTTGTATGTGCCCAGCTTTGCAATCCACAATCCCGTGAACTTATAATATGCTGCTCCACGCAGATGGCCTTCACCGGCGTGGTGCGCTATGCCAGCATTTGCATTCGATGATCTCGGCTGGGGACAGACATTTGGGGTAAGAAGTTCCGATTAAGGTTCCGGTCCCAGTGCTTTCGGTTTGTTTGGTGCTTGGGATTGTGGGTGTTGGGAGTAGGTGCTGGATGCTTTGCAAGCTTTTCAGGATAACCCCAAAGCCGTCCACCCGAAATGAAATATCCAAACCTTGTTTTGAAACCTTTAAACCCGAAGCTATCAACTTCTTTAATGCCAGCATGACATCTCTTCTCGACCTCAACCTCATGTCTTTAAAATTTAATCCCGAAGGCCCTGAACCTTCAAGCCTAAAGATCCTGATAATATTTCACCCGAAGTCCCTAAACCCTTAAACCTAAAGATCCTGACTCCTAAACCCCCTCGCCCTAACCCTTAAGCCTTAAACCCCAAAACCATTGAATTCAAAGCCCTGGGAACCTCAACCCTGAAACCCAAAGGTCCCTGAACCCTTATAAGGCCTAAGGCCCTAAACCTGTAAACCCAAAGATCAATCTGCAGGACATCAGCTATACTTCGGCCCAGCGTGTGGCCCATGCAGCAATACAGGACGACTGCATTAATTACGATGTGCACAAACCCCGGGCCCGAGACCCCATGCTGTAGACCCCAGAATAAGTAATTGCAGGACTTCGCGGCAAATGATATCCTTCCTGATGCCCAGCTGAATGCCTTGGCGACTGCCGGAATGGAGGGTACATATACTTCGAATATCGAACGGGATGTTCTGCGTCGGGGCATGCCGAATCGTGTCGAGGCTTGGTACTTGCATACGATACCTGATCAGCCTATGAATATATGTGCAGATTCAGGTGCCGATCCACTATGTGCAAGTGCCTGTACGGGTACGTGTGAATGGGGTCGTAAAGATCCTGCAGCGGACACTTGGATCTGCATATTGTCATTAAGCCCTAGGCCCTGATCAACTAAAGAACCCAGTAACGAGTATAGACCCATGTTTTGTTCTCATTTTTCTGCCTAGGTCCATGCCACTAGTGCTCCCACACGATGTGATCTTTCGACTGCATACGGTGGGTCGACTGGGGGGCTTGAGTCCCAAAAAAGAGGTGGAGAGCTTCTGGGAACACTTCAAAGCTCATGAATCGAGCAGCATCCAGTGGCCCAGGGCTGCCCAGCGCCACATGTTGCCATTGGGCATACACTGCGATGATTGTCGTTACAGTGAAAGCGGCGAGAAACTGATTGTGTTTTCCTTCAACTTCCTGCTCGATGGTGATGTGCAAGACCGCTTCCCTCTGTTTGTGCTGAGATGTGTCACTAGCCTGCACGAAACAAAGAAGTTTATGATCCATGATCAGGCATTCATGAACTTCATGATCGAGCTGGATTTATTAGTATACTAGGCTACGCTTTTTTATATTGAAGCTAGTCACCCTATGCTGTGCAACGACAACTCGAGGCTTTGAGCACTGGCTTCAACACCCTGCAGCCCTACCTGCGTGCAGTGACCTGGCTGCTGGAATACTCGAGCTCGGCATTTAGTATCAAGCTAGATAGCTAGCTAACGAGGGGTTCTGTGGTGGTGTCTATAGTCGATCGATCGCAGAGCTGACATTGCTGCCAGCTTCAACCTGTGCTACCTGGGCATTTGTCCTGAAGCTGGATTCGTTGCAAATGTTGCAAAGCCCGAGGATGTGCATGAGGCATCCTTTGACTCCTACCAAACTTTTCCACCATGTTACTTCAGTGAGGTGCGTGGGGACTGGAAGATGATGAAGGACCTTATGTCAAAATCAAGTAACTAATTATAATAGGAATAATATAGTTCCGTTTTTTAAGTTGTACTTGGCCTTGAACCCTATAAACTGTTACCCGATTAAGTCTATAGCTATAGCCCTACACCCTAAAAACCATAGCCCTAAGCATATTTAATACCACACCTCATCATATCAAGTAAGGAGCTGCTACACTTGAGCACAGGCTGGAACAGCAAATGCTTGTGCCACCTTTGTAAGACAACCGATAGCACCTACTTGAAATTTCCAAGTCAACTGTTTTATGAGCCACGGCGCTCTTGGGACGAGTTTGTCTCACAGTGCAAACCTGACTGTGAAGGTGAAAGATGTGACTAGTATTGAATCGCACTTTTTGCTGGTATGTGGCAAAAAAACAGATCCTGTATTATTATCTTAGAATATTTTCGGCACGATGTGCAATGTGCAACCAAGCTTAAGGCCATTTGCTGAAAATCCGTGGCTTCGACCAGTCATGCCTCCGATGGTGCACCATGCACACGATTAATCTTGGCATATGCCATTGGGTTGTGGCCTCCGTACTCATAAGTGTGATGCAGCATCACGAGGATTCTGGGTGGTACAAGATTGAAGCTTTTGATTTTTCACCGTATCTGCAGTTGCATGGCCCTTTATATCGATGGATAGAATTAATCGCGATCGACTTCTAGTCTATACATATATTATATATCATATTATATGCCAGCTAAATCTATAATCTCTAGTTCTATCCACTCAGGATGTGTGGCCGTCGCCTCCGGGAACACTGGCCAAGGACAAGTTGAATGTTCGGCTGGCGGTTTGCTTTACGGACTTCGTTCAGTGGGCACGCGAGAAGCGGATCGAGTATCGTGGTTCACATTCAATCCTCCCCACCCCTGCCACCTGAATTAAAGTATAATAGTTAAATCTATGTACCCATGTATGCTTTGTATTTTTTTAACAGCCTAGATTTCATAATAAAACATGCTCAGCCTATATAGCTAGGCATTCACAGCCGGAGTTCCGGGCGAAGAACTTACGTGATATGGCCACTGGCTATGCCGAGATGAGCATGAAGGCGTACAACGACTCTTGCCTGACTATTATAATATACATGTATTAGGTGGTCCTATCGACTTGGTCGTGTCGGTCAACTCTGTGGCTTAGGCACGTGTGGTGACTGGATGGCTGTCGGATCGAATGATATCCTTATATGGCAGCAATGATGCTTGCAAGAATGCAGAGTTCAAGGAAATGGTGAAAGCTGTGTGCTTTGACTGCACTCATACTGCTGTGAATTGTAGTGCGGTTTTGGTTTCGAGATCTTGAGCTTGGGATGTTACAAACAAAATTGGAATTTCATCTAGCATGTATACTACTTCAGTGTAGTTATATGGTGTCTGGCCAGCTGTATCGTAGTACTGTGTACTTGTAAGACCCGACTGGGTATAGGCTATATACTCATGAGGTATTGGGTGAACGAATACTTCCAGCGGATGGAGAAGTACGATCGTTTCCTGGGGCCGGCCGAGAAAGCCGGATTGTCGGAGGCCTGTGTGCCTTGTCGACAATTGCAAAATCTCAGGGACATGATATTCATCAATTTTTGTTTTATCTCCAGCCAAGGATGCTGCATGCATGGCATATGCCAATCTGGCGGCTACATGTGCAAGCAAACATGAACGGCTTTGGCCACTGAAACCAAAGTTGCATGCTGCTTGCTGGCAATAATCACCGGTACCACGGCTGGTGTTTTGTCAATGTGCATGTGCAAGTTGTGTGTGCTGGTTTCATCTGAGGCCTTCCAAGAAGTTACCCATATTGCGGTTTTGGATGGCAGCTCGGATAAGTTAATAAGAATTTCGTGGATTCACCGTAGTATCCCGAATTTCAGGTTAATCGGTACCACCTGCTGGTCACCTGCATAGTTGTACCTTGCATCTCAGGCCAAAACCCCAAGTACCACCATACGTTCAGAGATGAGAGTTACATGGGAACTTGCAAAGGCGGGCTCTGCATACAACAAATATGTTCATTCGATTCGGACCAGAGTACATGCAGTTTTTGGGACGCATTGCTAAAATGTGCCATCGCGGCAGCCTGGAGATATCGTTTCTGAAGCGAGTTTATGGCCAGTGACTTATCTGCACAGATATACAGCTAGTAGATTGAAACTCGGAAATCGTGAGCTGTATCTGAGGTTTCCGAACATGCCGTAATTTACGATGTGCAACGACAGCAAGCGCGAGCCGGAGAAATACGATCGTGCTACGAAGATGGGGAGTTACACCGTGTGATATAACCCTGAACCTTAACCCTGAAGCCTTACACCCAAAGCTGTCGAAACCCTTGCCCGCCGAAATGAAAGCCACAATCTTAATCATAGCCCACACAAGATAAAGCACAAAACTCTGAGCAAAGAAAGCCAAAGCCTCAACCCTAAAGATCAAAGCTCCCACCCAAAAAAATCATTGCAATCACTAGCCGAAACCCACTGACCTAAAGAACCTCACGACTTTAATAAAGCCTAACCCTAAAAAAAATCAAGTGGTGGTGCTGAGGCGCTGGGGAGGGTTGCATGGGTGTTGTCT